CACCTATCATGAACAGCTGCATGCCTGGTACGTGGCGTCATTCAGGTTCACATGCTGCCGCTGTTGTATTTTCAAGTGGAAGATTTATAGCGGAAAGGTGCATGGAAAGTTTGTCCGAAAACTAAGACAGCATGTCTTCCGTGCCATACAAGAGAGTGCACGGGGTGACTGGTCTGTTGCGCGCGCTGTAGCCCACTAGGGCTGTCTGTACAACAGGAGAATTGGCGTAGAGTTGATAAGTATTTGTCAGGGCGCGCCCAGACAGAAGAAAAAGCACATGTGCAGAGAGTGATGCATCCCCAAGGTCACCATTGGTTCGACACGTCCGGAAAGTAGGTGAGTCGGCGGCTCTCACCAAACACGTCTTAGCAACACACGACCAGCGTAGTGGGCCTGAGAGTGTTCACAACCGGACCACCACCGTTGGCTGTACAAAGCGAACAAGTGAACGACCATATTTGGCCAAGTAGTCATCCTATATATTTACGCAGACGCTCTGTATGTTTTGTCCTGGCAATACAGCCGTGTGCCCAGTTCTCTATCTTCTCCCTATCGCGTAGTCTGGCAGGCTCAGTGCGGGCGTAACCCAATAGCTCGGCCACCGCACAACACAACAGTATTGGAAACGAACCAGGCGGCTACAGGGGCTTCACTAAGCAGACGGTCAGACTGGACAACTTGGTGTCCTCAGCTCTCAAGCTGAGAGGTGGTTAGACAGGGCCATCGGGAGTCTGTGGATATTTAAGTTCATTCTATACCCTTATGAACAAGAAGTTTATGTTTGGTGACCGGATAATTCAGTTAGAAGCATTCTCCTAGCCATCTGACAGTTTATTGCAAGTGGTCGTAAACAGAATTGAACATTGTGGCGATCGTGGGTTACTAAAACAGGCTACCTGAAGCGTAACGACCGCGGTGGGCCCACATGGAATGACTCGTCATTCGATATGCGCATACCGTTCACGTACAGTAGTCTTTGATGAACCGCAAGCCTCATATTTATTTGCCCAATCCACCTATGATTTCCTAATCAACTCAAGAAAGGGAATTAACGCCTGCAAAGCTTGAGCTTTTCGGATTCAGCTGCACACTTGCCCACCGTTTTTTTACTGTAACCTGGGAGAAACTGAAGGAACCCTGTACGAGACACCAGCGCCGGGGATGCAAATCTCTGGAGCAGGATGTAGGAAATAAGGGAAGGCTTGGTTATTACGAAAAAAACCATCTTGAATTTTGTTCATATTACACCGAAAGAATCCTCCTTCACTTCAGTATTCTCCTCTATTCTGGAGCTGTGCTCATTTCGATTTCCAGGAACAATAGAATAAAAAAGATACCTTTCCTGGAGAATGCTTCCTTCAGATTCAGGCAACTAGCCCAAGTTGGCCACGCATAACCCTGAAGTGATGAAACCAACAAAATTGCCACAATTCACCAAAAAGAGGTATCCATGGCAGGCACGAGCAGTGCAAAATCTGAGGGGTAGGGTGGTAGCTAGCTGAACAGAGGGGGGGGGTTGCTTTCAACAGGTCACACTGTTCCTGTCTGTTCTTGGACATATTTCAGCCCTCGTGATTTCCCACCAACGGTGCAATAATCCCAAAGGCATCCTCGTCAACGTTGACAAGCATTAGATTAATTTGAGAAGAAGAACCAGGGTTCGAAGGTCTGATCTGCTGTACTCGCATGAAAACTCATCATCAAGTTAACTCAGTCCAAGGGATTCAATTCACTACCCACATGTCGGTTACCTATCTTCCCGCTAGGAAACTACTTTCACGCTGACATCTTGTTTGAGTATCGATTCATCGTTGTTTTTTTTCGGTGAAATTATTGTTCGTGAGCATAATCGTCCAGCTGTAACAACTTTTCAATGCCTAGATGCCATGCCACTCATAGGAGGGCTGGGATACTACCGGATTGCCCAAGCCTACACAAGGGAAGTTGAGGAGCAGAGATCGGATTCGAACTACGAACCTTCCGGTCAAGAGATCAGATTCGAAATACGAAACCTTCCGGTAGTAAATTCGCGCCCCTGCGTATGCATAGAAAGACTTAAGAGTCCATGAGCCCTATTCTGTTAAATGGTTTGAAAACTGTCAACTTTTCTGCAAAAAGCGTGTGGCGTTTGAGAACCAGTGCAAAAACGAACACTGCACGCGTTTCCAATAACAAATCGATAATGTTACTTCTTCAAGCATCACGGTCATTCGCCACCGTAAAAACTAATTCGAGCCTCTCTTCGGTCGTAAATTAACTAATGAACTAACTAACTAACTAACTGAACTAATGTCAACGTTATTTGTTGGTTCTTCTCATCCATACCTCTTTCTTCACATCAAACAGGAAAGTTGACTTTTGAGCTCACAAGCATGAGGAGGCCAATGAAATCCCTCGTAATCAATAGCAGATTGATGTTCTCCAGTACGGCACACAAGCTGTCTCCGGCTTCCATTGTGTTTAGGACTACGAAAGCCCAAACGAAGTGCAGGCAGGACACGACAGAGTCGTGCATGTGAGCTCGTCCAGGCCGGATAAGTGTCTCTCCAAGTCTCACAGACCACGCCCATCCCACCGGTACCGCTATTCAGTCCAGATTTATTAACTGAGTAAAAATGTTGCGGTGTTCTAAATTTTGAAACTCACAACATCTATTGTTTTTCTCTATCAAGGGCAAGAAATTTTTAACAAAAGGTTTAACTTCCTTTTCTCTAGTCTCGGTACACAATGACAGACTAGGGGGAGACCGGAAATCTGGTTAGGGTTAGGGACGTGTGTACGTCTCCGTGAATAGCTACGGCGAGCAGCTGTCGCAAGGAAGTAGTATTAGAAAAAGAAGGGGGGTCACTGCAATGTGAAATAATGCCCCAGCGTTATCAAAAGCAACGATATCTGTCTAGTACAGACTTCTGGATGATTTTTCACTCCGAGTAACAACATAAACCAAGTAACAATGACAAAGAGTTTTCAGCAACCTTATAAGTAGTGTATTACTTTCATAAAACGTATTGCAACATCTCCACTATCGCACCAGCCAAAAGATAAGGCGGCCTGGAGCAGAACATTCTGTTGGGGAAGAACATTATAAACGAGAGATTTATCTGGGATTCAGGTGAGCCTCCCGTGAAAAAAATCAAACTGACATGAAGATGTGTGTGTTCGTCGAAGATAACACACGCTCCGGACGGCTTCGAAGCACCGTTAGCATCGTCTAGTGCCTCACAGACTACAGTGTTCATCGTTGCGTGTGTTGCATTTTTCATGACGGGTTATATTCTTCCAAGAGAATTTCCCCCTAAGTAACAAACTCGCGGAGTCTCCAAGGGAAGGATCTCTTCAGATATGGAGAATCCCACTGAAATATCGCGGGGGGTTTCGGTTGTGGACTGTGACGGTAGGAAGAGGTCCCTCTTCTTGGACAAGGTGAGGAATGCATGCTGTGACATGACCGCAAGTCTGTTCGCCACATTCATACATTCAGGCAATTTATCGTTTCATAGATAGAACGAAAGTTCACAGGAGGTAACCAGAGTAAGAGCATATTTTTAAGAAAAGTTGTGAAGGGACTGCAACAGAATCAGAGAAAAAGATGGCTTGTCGTTGAAACATTTTAGTTCTAAGTCGTTTAACACGTGAATTCCAAAAAAGATATTTCAAATGGTTTAAACGAGTGTTTGGCCCAACAGTGATAAGGCTCCAGCTATCACATTTATCGTGGAATCGTGAGCTTTGCACATTTCTGAGTTTTGTGTCCTCGATACTACTGATTAAATGTCAACTTCTTTCACAATGCTTGGAAATTCGGTCCTACTGAAAACCCATGAGGTAAGCCAGCCCACTCCGTTTGAAAAATAAGGACAATTTTGACTGTTGCGCTCAATCGATTATTTGTTTAATTACTTACTTACTTAATTAATTAATTAATTCTAACAAATTTCTGGTTTGTTTTCCTCAGTCTTGTTTTGGTCAGACAATCAGAAATCAGGGCGATTTCGCAAAGCTAAGGGATATACTGAAAATAACTCTAGTGTGAGACAATATTGGTTCAACTTGGAGGCAACCCTGCTGAGACGACTTCCTATTTTAAACACGGAAATATCCAATAAGATCATGGATCATTAATAAAATGGGTGATCAGCGATCTCAAAACAATGGCACATGAAACTTACTGTTTACTGTAGTGGGCCAGAATTGTGTGAGCACGTTTGAGTATCGAAAGGACTTGAGCAAAGGGTGTGACGTAGGGGCTGTCTCCTCTTCAGTTTTGTCCAGAGCAGAAAATTGAGAGAATGATGTTTAGTGATGTACACATTTTTTTATTAAAAAAAAACCACTCCATCCTATAACTGAGAAGCTCGACAAGTCTACCGAGAGTTTCCTGGAAAGCTTGCCCCCAAACTGAGCTGAGAAGACCGGAAATTTGATCTACTCATATGCCGTCGCGTGCACCAAGCTTAACGAACCAAGATTGGCTAAAACAACATCAAGAAAAATATCCCGCATCTTAAAGAACCATCGCTGTGTTTGCATGAAGCCCGGACAGATTCATCTGCCTCTGCAGACAAACGTTCATTTAAAGCAAAAAACAGACTAGCCTTTCGCCTACTCATCGGCAAAAGTGTGGAATGTCGTCGGCAGTGCCACGAAGAAACTCTTCTACGCAGCAGCTAAACATGTCGGTTGAAACGGGAAACTGCCGCTCAGTCAAACAACAAAACCAGTATAGACGTATCACACAAGTCGTAAGGTTACCGAAAACGCTTTGACAGCAACTTCGTGAGTAGTATGTTACATCCGAACAACTCAAACATAAAACAGCCTTGCACAGTACATTCAACCGAATAAGACCATCATAAACAGGAGATTCAGCTGAATTCATTTGAGTCACCCGTCAAAAGCAAATTAGCGTGTTTGAGAAAAAAAACCGGTAACTAAAGTTCGTAGAATCGCAATTCTCGACCATCTACTGTGACAAGGGGAATACCTTCCATTTCACGTACCTTTCTAGCGTTGGCCCGGAGCGCTCCGTTCTAGTTCCAGGCGGGTCAATAAGTGTTTCCGTATGGTAAAGGAAGGATTGCCGTCTTGCCAAATTATCCCCTCCGTCTGTTCGTCTACCGGGCGCTGCAGAACCTGATTCAGGGAGGGCCTCAAACGAAGGTGCAAATGACATCCGCTCATGTTGGTGCGGGGAGCAACTGTAAGAGTAAGCGTGCACACACAGAAATAAATTCCCCCGGGTTTCAAAAAAGTAAAGAATGTGTTTTTTATGTAAAGATTTTCATAGGGTCCTCAAACTGAGACCTGCAAGCCGGGTGGGGGGAGCCACCTTTCAAAAAGAAAAAGGTTCTACTCATAAAGTTGCTGAAAAACTTTCACCGAGTCACGGACCGTACGCATTAGCACAGTAACGTGGGACCATCATAAACGGGAGACCATACTCTACTACTCAGCTGGGTCTCCCAAAGCACTTTCAACAAGTTTCAAAGTTTATTAACAGGAATCACGATAGAACAGGGCTTGCAGGATGATGTGTTTTAACAGCACTTCTGAACAAGATTTCCGCATAATCTTCATCAAAGTGACCCAGTTCAGTGACGAAAAAAACTCGACGGCATCATTTATTTGGCCACATCTATTGGTCCATCCCGATTTTTCTGCGGGCTTAGGAATATTTCGTTGGTTGAACGTGTTGGTTACCATCCCGTCAACGTTTATCTTCACAGTCCGGTTACTATCTCATCAATGTTTACCTTCATCCACTCACATAATCTGTTTAACGACACGTGCACACCCACTGTTTCATTCCTGTCCAGATTATGTCATGAACATGCGCCTCATGCCTAATCGAGAAGATTGGAATCTTATCTTAGGACAAACAACGCGAGCGCATCCTCATTCACAACGTAATCATATATATAGGCGGAACAACGACAGCAGGATGCCGACGCTCGTCACTTCACACAGCGCCTTGACCAGGGTCAGTTCAAACCTACGCACGACTCACTGTGCAGGAAAAGTCTGGGCTAGATATCGTTTTGGATTATACGACAAGATACAGGCCAGATTCCAACACACTCCGTCAAGGCCCGCATTCAATTCCACTGAGTCCTACAAACCTCGGCTGCGTCTACTACAACTTATCAAACGAAGAACTCGATAAGTCTATTTTTTGTGTGTGTACTATTCAGTTGTACTAGTGTCTCTGGTAACCGCTATACATAATTGTTTATTGTTAGTGTTATTTCACCTTCTGATATTACTTCGAGTAAAATGCAATAGCACTAACATACGCACAAGAGCCTAACCACAAAGTGGATTAAAAAGTTGATCACTGCCAAATTTCTTCATATTAACATCAATCCATAAGTAGCTCAGAGGAAAAGTAATAATACAGGATGAGTGATACTCAATCAGTCAATATGTGTGACCACGTGATGCGGTTTCCGTGAAGAGCAGCGCTATAACCCGCCTGATTGAAAGGTCAACTAATTGGTGCCAAAGGCAATAACAGAAAAGCTTCAAAGCCCCCAGTGGCATCTAACAGTCTAAATCACACCGCCACGCGTGCTCATAACGAAAGGACGCAGAAACTGTACTGGTACAAAGAATTACGCCGTGCTAAGATTGATTTGCTAACAAGTCGTCCACATCCCCGGTTCAGGCAACTCTCCGTTTCATTACATTCACCGGTGATGATTCCCAATACTCACATGTTATTCAGAACTCTCGTGCATCGTCAATGATTAATGAGGCTACCAGTCCGATAGTACACCGCGGCCGATCGGGAAACTGTCAGAAGTGCACGGAATGTAAACAAAACAAACAATGCGTCCAGCGCTGAGAGGCTGAGGTTGATTATAAGCACTCTGTATGATTTTGAAAGCAAGTGAGTACGGTTGTTGGATTTCTTTCCCAATGTACTTAATAGAACAACAAAAGTATGTCACCGGGAGCTGCTTTGTCCTAACCTCGGTGTCAAACGGCGTGTTGGTAGAAAATAAAACGCGTCAGCAACACAACGGTATGCGTACAAGTGACCGTAAGTTGTTATAAATTATGCAAACAGAGTACAAGAAATTGGGAATTTGTCATCAGTCACACAAATACACTCTTTGGCTATCATGATTGTGATGCAGCAGGAAGTGTTTTGTGATTTTTCCTCAAGTGTCCAACAGAGACCTTCGGCTAATGCATAGATCTAACAAATATAGGTCTGTCCCCACTCGGGCTTGGGGTCAGCGGCTACTGGTGAGTAGATATTAAACAGACAGTTGCAAAATTCCCACGTTCATCACCTATGTCGGCGCGGTGGGTTCTACCAACTATTGCTCATGGGTTTGTGTTGCATACTGGCAGTGAAAACCATCCCTCTGTATTTTAAACCGGCCGTAGTTCTCATTTCTTTTTCGAATGGCAACCGAATATTTCTGGTAGAATGAGTACGCCAAGATTTACTGTCTGTCTGTTCCGTTCGTTTCGAAGAACGAACCGGAAGCACAAGGGCTGGGATACTGCCTAGACAGGGAGAGTTGAGAGGCAGAGGTCGGATTCGAACCACGGACATTCCGGTCAGTAAACTCACTCAGTAACCAATGAGACATCTTGCCCCATTTTTACACAAACTACATATTATTTGAGACACTACTCAGATGAGTGTACCGAGATCATCAAGTTATCTTAACTGGGCTTTATTCTATAGACAGATACAGAAATCCTCTCTGCTGGGCATAATTAGTCCATGTTGAGGGACCGAAAAACAATATGAAGCCGTCTAATTACATGGACGTTATAAGGTTGGTGAAGTCGTTCGACCGCCCCCGACCGGTTTCGTCTTTTATATTCGGGTTCATCGGATAGAGGTAAATCGACTGACCGGATGCTCCGTGGTTTGAACCCGATCTATGCCTCTCGACTTCCCCTGTCTAGGCTTGGGCAGCCTGGCACTATCCCAGCCCTCGTGCTTCATTCTGATGGCATGACAGTCGGGCACCGAAATGGTACTACAGCCGAGCGATTATACATTTGTGGAATTTCGTGCAATTCGAGTTCAAGTAGAACACAAGGTTGATGGGAAGGGAACTTGGGGATCGCACCAACCTGATGAGCCCCAAAAAGGGCAAAATGGGGCGTGGGTTCTCGAAGGGTCTTCAGAAACCTTATGAGTAATGTATTACGTCTATACAATGCATTGCGAACGAGAAGAAACACGAGGCGGCCTGGTGCAGCACATTCCGTTGCTCCAGACCGTCATAAACGAGAAATTCAACTGGATTCCGTTCCAGGTAATTCACCCGTGAAAACCGAATAGGTATGCAGGTGAGTGTACTCTCCAATCATAGTTAACAACCACTGGCAGTGTACGCAATATCTAATAGACAGGGAATACTATTGCAACGGTGATACTACTGATGGGGAGGCACGCGAGTAGTATGTGTTGTTCGTGGAATTTCGCTCTGCGTCTTTTGAAAAGGAGAGATCTGTTGTGGAATTCGTGAAGTCACTTTGTGACATTTGCTTGGATTTGAGCGAGGAACGATTGGAGTCAATGAATCTCCAGGAAAGGTCAAGAAGACACGTTCAGGAGAAGATGGATGACCAGTTTTTGTAAATAAGATGCAAATTGGAGTTTTGCTTCCCTGTCCAATGGTCTGTAACCGGTCAGCTGGCATTTCCTAATAAATAACTTCGCAGTGAAGGCCTTCTTCCTTTCACTGGTACATAGACACATGTAGAGAGTTCGTCTGCCAAATCATGATCGGACTGTGGGAGTGCATTTGTCGAGATATGCCCAATTTGGGTTCAAATAGAACATAAGGTTAACGGCCTACCTGATGAGCTTCAAGGAGGGCGAAACCAGTCGCAGGCTGTCGAAAAGTTTTCAGTGACTTTGTGAGTAGTCTCCCTCATGAAAACACACTGCGATATTTCGAATATCGTACCAACGGAAGTGTAAGGCGGCTTTTGTTCATCACCTTTAGTTGACGAATATCATAAACGAGAGATTCGGCTCGGTCTCCCGTGAAAACTCAGTTGATGTGCAAATGAGTACATTTGTCATGATGGGATTGCTTGAAGGTACAGCTCACGACAAAACGGTGGGACTAGTGATACTCAGTGGTTACGGCGCCAGCTTACGGAACGTAAGGTCCGTGGTTCGTGAATCTCGACTTCTCCTGTCTAGGATTGGGCGATCTAGCAGTATCACAGCCTTCGTGTTTCCTTCGGGTGGCATGACAGCTAAGCACCGAAAGGGTGTTACAGCTGAGCGAGATTTTAAAGTGATCATGGTTCCGAGGGGCATTACACCAATAAGCACAGTCCTCTACCAGAAGTTTCAGGTTATGCGATAAAACGAACTGCGTTCCCTTGACATCCGTAATCTCTGACCTAATTCAGCCTTCTATTTACACACTGACAGGCAGGCGGCTTACCGGGTTCAGTCACATGATCTCCAGCCCGAATTCGACCAACAGCTCTGGTCCTACGAATTAAGCTCGCGGGAAGAGGAGCTAGATATTTCCATGCTGATACGGACGAATTTCGACCGATAAAAAATAGTGACGATAACAACTTGGAGAATTGTAATAGTGTTTGGAAACCACAGGACGAAACAGTTTTAGCTTTGTGACAGCTGACAACCTAAGTCAATGTAGGTGTCCATAGGCTAACTGAACGAGACTCACATTAGGCGAAATACACTCATATGCTTAAACTTATTTTGTTTTAACGAAAAACTCGGCTGAATCCCACCGGAATATCGTCTCCAACTGAACAATGGCTGCCTCACGTTTCTGATGGCTTCTACCAAATACAAGGGACTTCTTCCAAGCGACGACAGACAAAGTGTATTCCGATCAGATGTTTGCTCGTTTCTCTAGAAAGACGGTTAGTGCCTCCTGGGCACGGTAATCGTAACGATGTGACTCAACTACGTCCAAGTTCAAACTTGGGTAGGTATTCCGAATTACCGCCAATTGCAAGATGTATGAGACTGATTGGGTCGTCATCATTCCGGATAGGTTTGTTAGACCAAGTGCTTATCAAACCTCTCTGAAACGCTAATCCTTTACTGTCTTGAATATTAAAAAGTTCCAAATTTACAAGAAAATATGGCGACCTCAGGATAGGGTAGTTCTGAGAACATCACAAACGAGAGATTCAGCTATGTTCCAGTTGAGTCTCTCGACAAACCGAA